GAACTGCATCTTTGAATCCATGGCGTTGGAGTTGGCGTCTAAGAACCCATCTTCGACTGTGTCGCAGATTATGTCCAAAAAATAAGGTTTTCATCACCTATTTAAAGGGGATTCAACCTGAATCGAAGGAGGACTTCTCCCCTGCGATTTGCCTCAATTTTGGAGGCTTCCAAACACATTCAAACCTTCTCCAAACACGTATTTGATTATTCCAATCCAAATCTAAGGCTAGAAATTATCAACTTCATCATCATTCAACGTTTGAAGATTGTTCAACCGGTGGATCTACACCAATTCTATAAAGTTCCGGATTTGGTTACTTCTTCCCCAAGATTCCATTGTTCTGTGATTTATTGATCACTAAACATCATTAATTTTATGGGTTTTAGTTTGTTTATGGATTTTATATTACCTTTTATGGTGTTTATTCAAGTTGTGTGTTTTGTGAACTCTATAGAAGGTTAAACCACCTAGGTTACTTCCAGGAATGTTGTAGGATGTTAGGATGAACACGTTTTGATTATTACTTTAGTCCAGTCAATTTCAGTTATTGCATTGTTCTTCCGATTATGATTTTTATTTACAATAATTGGAGATGGGTTTTATCATTGTATGATATTGCAACTAAGATAGTACATAGTCAATTCACCAATAGTGTTGATTTCATATAGTTTAGGAACTAATACGATCGGTTGAATCAACATAATCTATTCCAAACTTGTAGTATTATACGCTTATCATTGTAATAGGTAATTGTAAGACACATTATCGACAAACCACTAGTTGTTCCTAATCCAATTAGACATAGGGAGTAAGACAATTAGTTGGATCAACATATTGTGTGCCCAAAATTATTTGTTGCATGTGAATCAACCTTAACTATGTCTAGGTAATTAAATTGAAATTTAAAGGAAAAAAAAACTTGTAGGTCCAACCATCTGAACAACTGAACTAGAAGTATCTTGCTTTTCTTATTTGTTGTAGTTTGCTTTAGTATTTCTTGAAACACCAAGTTTTTTGTTTTTTGATCAATTTTTAGCTTAAATCTATTTGTGACAATTGTAGTATTAGTTTTTCCATTGACTATTTTAACACAAGATTTGGCCACAAACTCCTCGTGGATTCGACCCTTACTTACCCTAGATATTTAGTATATATGAGGTTTATTTTTTTATTGAGACAACAATCTCGATCAGATTGGAGTATTATCAATGCATGAACAAGTGGAGAAAGTGTGCAATGACCCATGTTTAAGGCTATAGAACCCGGACTTAAAAGATATGGTTGAATGACTCTAACTTTGATTTCAAGGGACTATTACACTATTATTGAAATAGATATTTATATCGTATTTGTGTCTATATGTACGTTCTTATACATTGCATATTGATGTATATAAAAATTATTGGTTGATCAATAAGAATTAAGGAATTTACATTCTATAGTTTTAGAAGGGATAATGACTTATGTATTTTTCATGTTATATACATTTAGTCACTGAGTTTCTTTATCCACCTGTGACCATTTAACTTGTTTTTTTTGTCCACATTCAGTCATTATAACCGGCTATTCCAGGTTAAAGCCAAAAAATGACTTAAAAGGGTAATATAATCTTCAGTTTGTACATATGATTGGTTTCTTCAGATTTTGCTCATAAACGTAGGACAATCATTAATAAGGTTTTCTCATACGTGACTCGTCTTTCACTTATATCAGTAAACTAATTCATGAATCGGTCAAATAATGTTGGTGCCTTAATTTTCTCCAAGTAGAAGATGTCTTTGGTTTTTGTTTCATCTATCTCTATAGCAAACAATGAGATTCTTTGTCTTGGAAATGAAAATTCGAGTTGGGAGGAAGCAATCACAACGAATCTCGTTGTCTGGTATGGAGATAGATGAAACTTTTTTGTCATGGTGTTCTTCTGTCTTGGAAGTGCAAATTGGTTTAGCGTCTTCCTTAATTCTTTCGTCTTGGAAGCGCAAATTCGAGTTGGGATGAAACAATCACAAAAAATCTCGTTGTTTGCTATGGAGATAGATGAAACCAAAGCCGAAGACATCTTCTGCTTGGAGAAAACTAAGGCACCAACATTATTTGACTGATTCTTGAATTAGGTTACTGATATAAGTAAAGGACGAGCCACGTATGAAAACGCATCACTAATGATTGTTCCATGTAGGATGCCATGAGCAAAATCTCAAAAAATCGGTCATAATGACTAAATATGTACAAAAAAATTAAGAACTAAATGGGTACAAACTGAAAATTATATTACCCTTTTAAGTATAACCGTATGTGAACAAAAAAACAAGTTAAATGGTCAAATGTGACCAAAAAAAACTCAGTTACTAAATGTGTACAAAATGAAAAATACATTACCCTATTAAGTCATTATCTCGTTTTATAATTATACCAAAATTTTAACTCAAACCAACATCAAAGAATAACTATAACTATAATATATATACACTTAAATATTAGACGAATAAAGATGTTTTATTAAAAAAAAATAGAGTCAGATGATTGTACCAATTAAAACATTTATCAACATTTTAAAATATGGGTCCTACTATAGACACCCTAATCTACACCATCATTATAGATCTTTAGGTTTATCTTTTAAGTCATTATTACCATATCATTAGCATATAATTATAAGTTTGACTAATTTTTTATTATTACTTCGTAATCAATAAAACTTTACTATATAATAATTACATTTTATTAGTAACTTTTTTAATATTAATAACTTTAAATTTATTTTTTATTAAAATAAAAAATAAAAAAACAATAGTATTGTTTTTATAATATATAAAAAAATTATAAAAAATTAAAATTCCAAATAAATCCATTAAAAAATAGTTGTGATTGTGTGTAGTAGGGATAGAGTAGGATGGTATGTAAAAAAAATTCCCATAAAATATTTTTTTCTATTTGTTAAAATCATATAATGGTAGGTGTCAGGCTGTCAGCTTTTGCAACATGTGATGAAAGACTTGTTTTATATTCATGTTTTTCACGAGCCTGCTATTTTTTGTCGGGTTTTTCTTTTTACATACCAGTCTAGGATACATTAATCTACTATATTATTATTAGATAATCATTCTCATTAATAAATTATCTTGATTATCTTGTTTTCAGAAAAAGCATTTTTTAAAGGGTTGGCTAAAAAGACACCCCTTTTTACCATTTAGACAACCCTAATTAATTTTGAAGTATTTTTATTGGTTGAAATTGGATTGTTTTCCGAAAAAACTGATTACAAGTAGTTTATTATAGGTTGACTTTTTATAAAAATGATGAGAGGGTGTCTAAGGGGTGTCTTATTAGCAGCACCATTAAAAATTGTTTTTCTCTCTCTTAATTATTACTGTCAACTACCTTTTGCAAAAGAATAGAGAAGAGGTGCTGGTGAATTTGATTTATTATCGTGTGATATTTTTCCAAACAAGTTACGATTTAGTCCTACAACTTTAAAGAAATTATCAATTTTGGAAGGCACAAAAATTCCATATATTACGAGACAAACAAGTTACAATTTGATTAAATTATGACTAAAAAATATACTAATTATTATTAATATTATTTTATTAAATTATGACTAAAAAATATAATAATTATTATTAATATTATTTTATTACTATTATTATTAGGATATTACTTATTTTAATAATAATTTTCGGTTAACACAAAATATTACTATATGTAATTTTTATATATTTATTTATTTATTTATTAAACTCAAAGTAATAAATCAAAGTCAACATTTTTTTCTTATTGATGGCGCAATATTTTTTATTTTTAATTTTTTAATATAATTATGAATCAATAAATAAGTATATTTTTTTTTATAAAAAACTGTAATCTTTAACAAAAAGCTACATGTTTTAAAAAAACTGCATGATTTACAAAAACTGCACCTAAAAAAATAAAAAAATAAAAAATAAACAGCACTTTTTATTAAAAGAAAACAGCACATTTTTTTAAAAACTTCATGTTTTAAAACAAAATTCCACGTTTTATAAAAAAAACTGCACTTTTAAATAAAACAGGCACGTTATAACAAAAAATAAAGAGTTTTTGAAAATTAGGTTTATGGTAATGGAAAAAACTATTACGTTTGTGGGTTTACGATTAAAAAAAATGATGAAAATTTATTTTTTTATAATATTATTTATGTTATTATATTATAAAAACAATATTATTGTTGTTTTTTTATCTTAATAAAAAATAAATTTAAAATTATTAATATTAATAAAGTTAATAATGAAATTATAATTAATAATTAATAATGATTTATTGATTAAGTTATAATAAACTAATAATAAAAGTTGATAAAAAATAATTATATTGTGATAATGACTTAAAAAGTATGGTCAATGATAATTATATGGTAATAATTTATAATCATTCGATTAAAAAATATGTCTAATGATGTAGGGTAGGGTGGTGTGTTAAAAGTAGGACCCTTTTTTGTCCGTTCTTTATGACCCAATGTTTGATGTTTTCCCATTTATTGAGCTTCTCTAGGAAGTCTAATTTTACTTGTTAGTGCGCCTAAAAGATTCGCATCTTATCTTTTTCTAATGTAAAAGTATAATATAGAAAATTTTAGTGCTATGTCATACCAAATTTTGCGTATATAACAATAGTCATGTACATTATCATGTATACAGGTGGCCCATAAGGACTAAAGGGGTGTTTGGGATTCGTTATTTGAAACAACTTATGCTTTTTTTATTAGAATTGCTTATATGCTTTATTAAAATGGAGTTTAGAAAGGATAAAAAAATGGATTAAATCATTAGATTATGCACAGTACAAAGTACAAACACACAATAAGTTGATAATTTGTTTTTTGGTATTTGGTAAATTCTATTCCAAAAAAACAAGGGTAAAAGAGTAAATTGGTAAATTAAAGAAAAAAGGGAAAACTACACCCTGGTCAGGACAAATCTTCATGAACTTCCTGGCTACTTGAAGAACATAAATGATTTCTAAGGGAAGGGAGACGTAAAATAAGCACACCACTTTTCAATATATGCCAATTCATCTAGATTCAAGCTTGGAAGTTGGCGATCTTTAAGGGTGTTGATTATTTGCATAGTCTCACCAAGAAGTTGAGCTGCAACATGGACACTCGTCTCCCTTTTCTCAATGGTACTTGCATGGCATTTCACAGCTATGACTTGGGGTAAGTTGGTGAGACACGCAGCCAATATGTCACCAATAATAGATAATAATTGTGCAAATAGTTCCTCTTGGGTAACGAGGTCAATGTTGTCATTGTAGGAAAGCATGATTGTTTCAATGATATGATACATTGAATTGGCAGAAATAAACCTGCATATAGACTTATCATTATTGCGGCTTCCAATATCAATTGTTTCCAAATCAGTGACAATGTTCTTAGCTGTATCTCTCAACCATCCAAGAATCTGGCCTACTGTATTTGCTTGAGGATCAGGTTTTGTTAGCTTGTTTCCTAACCATTTGTGGTAGACTTCAACTTGTAGCCATAAAGTTTTAGCTGCTTTTTGAATGGTTACATGGTCATTGGTAGTGTTAAGGGTTTCTTCCACAAGTGTGACATACACGAGACCTTCACTCACACTGCTCAACAAGCAATCAACAATGTTGTTTTGGATGTTTGGGAGAGAAATGGCGACGGTTGTCAAAGATACCAATGTTAAGCTCCAGCAAGTGAGATATTGTTTTGATAGTAAAGGTGGAACAAGAAGGCTGTCAAACTTTTCAACCCCTTCAAAACCTCTAGATTCCTTTAAAAGCTTCATAAGATTGTTGGGTTGTTGTTTTACAGCCTTTTGGATCAATCGGTTCACAGATTTTAAAATGCCTTTCAATGTTCTCTCAGGAAACTCCATGTCGTCTTGAAGTTGCAAAACACACCGGCTGAGATCTTTATCTTTATCTAGTTGCTCGGGATTTTTTTCCAACACAATACTTGGGGTGCTAAAAAACATGGCTTTTAACCACTTCCAACAACCGAAACAAGACAAGACACATATCACAAAGAGAAGTGGAATCACTGCTATCATTTTGCATGTTACCACAACTGTCTTTTGAAATCCTATACAGACGTTGAGAATCAGGATTTTCACATTCTCAATGACAATCTTGCATTTGCGGTTGCCACATGGGAATGGTATGCTACTTTGTTTCCAGTCAGATAACTTCTCAGTCCAGTAGCTCTCTACTGTAGAGACATTGATATGGTTCCAAATCCATTTTACAGAGAGCTTAAAGCTTAAAACTGCAAAACATCTACAAAGTGGAGCAATTGTACCAAGTATGGTTCCGATCAATTGTATTACAAGAATCACCAACATTGACCACTTGTAATCCGACTGAAAGTCCTTTAGGGATCCAGTATTTGAAACCATAATAAGAATGTGTAGGACTGTAGTAAAAGCACATATTACCCCAGAAGCAGAGGTTGTAGCAGAGCAAGCTGTCATGAATTGGGGACTTCCGGTTCCTGCCATGATCCAGTAATTGCTCACATGCTGTGTTAGTTTCTCAACAGTTAGTAATCTTCCTGGTTGTTGCAGCAGCTCTTTATCCTTTAAAATTGTTTCATGAGCTGCTTGGTATTTCGATTCTAAAATCTGTTTGGACTTGAGAATTGCGAGAGAGGAACATGCATATATAATCAGCAACATGAGCAACACACTCACATAAATGGCTGGTATGAAGCGGTGAGCTGTTAGATATGCCCCTGCTGGAAAAGTTCCTGAAAGAAGAACCTGACCAAAGGTTTCAGCAGCCTCATCTCCATGAAAGGAGAGGAGTCCTGTGGTTATTTGAATGCAAACATTCACAACCAAAGTGATTACCAGAATACCTAAAGCTATGATGTTTGAGACGAGTTCTTTTTTGTCCATGGTTGCTAGAGAAGGCAATAAATTAGCCATAATGGTGCACATAAAGCCCATGCTTCCAAGCTTTGCAGCCTGATCCACGTAGCCAGGCATTTGATTATTTAGATCAACAGGTAGCTTCATTGCAACCGCTATCACAGTTAGAGAAGCAGCATTCATGGTGAAACATTTACATGGAAACCATAGTTGTCTGTTTCTCAAACCATGTAATAAATCAGCCACCATTGCAAGGATGCAAAACAGAGAGGCTAAGGCGATATAGACCCCAATCCATGGCATAGGTTCACTGAACCTGTTTTGCTGATATGACTGGAATACTAAGAGACCCAAGGAAGATAGGTATTCTTCTGTAATATTTTTGCAAGACCCCACTTGTTGCATAAATTGGTCATATTCGTACACTAATTTTGGATCCATAATTATGTTCCACCAAACGTCAAAGGGGTGTGGTGTAAAGAGATGCAATAAAAAGACTTGAAACTAAACAGGGGTGGACCTGGAAATTTTCCAAATGGCGGCAGCCTTTGCAGGGGCGATCCGGCGGAGCACGACGGTGCCACGGTCGGTGACGTTCCTGTAATTCTTTCCGTTTTTTCCTTCTTTCTTTTTGCTGATCTGCCTGTCGCTCTCTTTCCTGTGTCTTGTTTTTAGTTCTCATTTTCAGTCTTTTAAACAATACCAACCAACCCTTAGACCCTTCTTCTGTTGTTTTTCAACTAAGAACCGACTATTATGTGGGGCAGCCTTTGAAATTCTTTTGAAATGGCCTGTGACTTGTGCCGTGCCGACCACTAGGTCGGTGTGGAGCCGCCGCCCCTGGTGCGGCGAATAAATTAAGCTTATTGTAGTTTTAGGATCCTTTAACAACAAGAAGTTACGAGAAAATATAAAATTATAAAATGTAAAAATAATTTCAGATTATTGATCATAATTGATCTTGTGACTATGATTAATTGAGTAATTATATAGTAAAAAAAGAGAAAAACGTAATAGTAGTCTAGTAGATTAAGGTTAACCGATTCCTGTTATTATAATCCAAATTAATAGGTGAATTAAGAAAAAGAAAACCCACTATGTAAAGAATATATGTGTAGTTGATTACTAACAATTGTTGAAATACGAGTTCTTCTTTTCACATCCCATCTTATCTGCCATACTTCAGCTACATCCAAGTTTCGAAGTGATCACAAAATTACCACTTTTCGATATTGTATATTTTCCGGTTATTTGATTACCCAATCAGAATTAATAATGATTATATCAAATTGATGGGTTATTTTTTCTTTAACAAAATTCACCAACTAAAGTACTCGCCATGTTAGGTAGTTTGCTTTTCTCATATATTGGTTTAATTATCTATATTAATTTTAATATTATTTCAGTTTCTAAAGATAAGATTTACAGTTTTGTTTTTATTTTCAGTCATGAAGTTATCTTTTTGAATTTATGGTGTACCTTTGCAGAGGGTTTTTAAGTCGTAAATAATTTCCATAATGGGAAAACGTTGAACCACATCATCCTAAGATTAAAATTTCAAGAATATGACAATTATGAGATTTAAAGAGTATGGCAGTTATATCAGAGATTCTAACATATTAAATGGTACATTCTTGGATAATGACTCATAGTTGATGTTAGACATATTCTATTGGGCTTCAACTCGATGCTTTCACTGGGAACACAACGTTAATGACAATATGGATTCTAGAAGTAGTAGTAGTCTAGTAGACGTATTCTCCCTCTTTATAATTGTCTCCTAGGTGCGATGAAGCTTCTGGTGTTAAATGGTGAACGTGGGCAATTTAGAGATGCAAAGCAAGAGTTCGATGAAATGGTTGAAGGAGATTATTTATGTTTCTTCTTCTAAGGGCAGGTTATGATTGAAGCCAATGTTGAGTGTGAAGCCATTGGGCTAGTCAAAAGAAGTGGCAGGAAACAAGGAAAGCCAGAAAACATGGAGAAAGAAAAAGGGGACATCCATGTTTTGAGGTAGTGGCAAGAAAACATGGAGAAAGAAAAAGGGGACATCCATGTTTTGAGGTAGTGGATGAAGACCCGGATGTTTTTTTTCTTTTTTAATATATTTTCTCAATTTCAATCTCTATAAATGAGATTGCTCTGTATTTGTAAGGATGTATCCATCACAAACTTCACAGAAAAAATATATACACTCCTAGTTACCCTCGTGTGGACGTAGGTCAGAAATAGACCGAACCACCTTAAATCTTTGTTGTTCTTGTGTTTAGAGTGGTGTGTTAAGTGTTTCGATCCTAACAAGTGGTATCAGAGAAAGGTTTTAGCTCCAGAAGGTGATTTTCAGTTTTTTGGTCGAAATTTTTTTTCGTAAAAAAACGATTTTGGTGTATACCGTTGGAAAGGTCTCGTTCCGAAGATTCCGAAAATATTTTTTTCTGAATTTTTTGACCACCGGAAGACGTCCAAATCGCCGGTCAAAGGTTTGCCGGAATAGTTACCGAAAAAAACCAGTTCGCCGGAGAAGACGACACTGTAGCACCTGAACTCGCCGGAGAAGACGACACTGTAGCACCGAAGTTCCGACGGAGAAGACGACACTGTAGCAGGAACTGTAGCACGACGTCAGCGGTGACGTCAGCAGAAACTGTAGCAACACTGTAGCAGATTTGAAAATTTGCAATTTGGCCCCTGAATTTCCAGAAAATTGCAAGATAGGTCATTGTTCTTTCAGAAAATGGCAGAAAGCAGTAAGCTTCAGATTGAGAAGTTTGATGGGAAAGATTTTGGTTGGTGGAAGATGCAAATTGAAGATTTGCTCGTACAGAAAGACTTGGACGCAGTTTTAGGTGAAAAACCGGAGGAGATGACACAGACAAACTGGGAGACTTTGGATAAGAAGGCCAAGGCATTTATTAGACTGACGTTGTCAAAGGATGTTGCCTTCAATATTTTGAAGGAGACCTCGGCAAAGGGAATCATGGAGGCATTGTCTAATATGTACGAGAAGCCGTCGGCAGCAAATAAAGTCTTCCTGATTCGGGAACTAGTCAACACGAGGATGAGGGAAGGAAGTTCAGTTACAGTGCACATCAACAATTTAAACTCGATTTTATCTAGACTTGGGTCAGTGGGAATAAAGTTCGAGGATGAAGTTCAAGCTTTACTATTGTTATCATCATTACCTGACAGTTGGTCTGGAACAGTTACAGCCGTTACTAGTTCCACAGGATCGAAAGGGCTCACTTTTGAAGGAATTCGGGATTTAATTCTAGGCGAAGACGTCAGACGAAGAAATTCCGGGGAATCATCAAGTGAACAATTGAATGCGGTCAGAGGTAGAAGAAATAACAGAGGTAGTGGGAGCGGGAACAGGAGAAGGAGTCAGTCGAGGACTCGAAATGATGTGACTTGTTGGAACTGTAAAGAGGTTGGACATTTCAGGAATCAATGTCCAAAAGACAAGAAAGAAGTTAACGCTGCAGTAGACCATTCAGATGATGATGTTTTGATCTGTAGTGTGGAGAGCAATGTGGATTCCTGGGTTATGGATTCGGGTGCTTCATTTCACGCTACCCACAGCCGTGAAGCACTGCAGAATCTGAAAGAAGGAGATTTTGGTAAGGTAAGACTGGCGAACGATGAGGTTCTTGATGTGACGAGCATAGGTGACTTAGATTTGAAGACTCCAGTTGGTCCATGGACTTTGAAGGATGTCCGGGTAATTCCAAGTCTGAAGAAACAGTTGATTTCTGTTGGGCAGTTGGATGAACAGGGGCACGAGGTTAAGTTCAGGAATGGGCAGTGGAAGGTTGTCAAAGGAAATCTTGTGATAGCTCGTGGACATAAGAGGGGTTCATTATATATGGTCAGATTACCATCTGAGGGAGTAACTGTCCCAGTTCAGAAGAAAAACAAAATCCGGTTCATAGAGTCTCGTGGACAGAAGAAGGTTTGCTTTGCAGATGGCAAGCCCATAGTCACAGGTCAGATTCAGGTTGAACGTGTTTGGAACGGTTCAGAAAAACCAGTCAAGGGCATTCATAGCAGTGGGAGCATGGGCTTTGTTTCAGCTAGAATACCCAGAACACAGTGGGTTAAGAGAACCAGTATTCCATCTGTAAAAGTCTCTCCAGATTATCTGTTTCACATGGAGAGTGTCGTTTGTTCTCAGGATGTTCCAGGATCGGGCAGTTCATTTCAGTGGGAGCCGGTGGAGACAGAGAACAGGTCAGTGGCAGACTTAGCCATGACTGACGTGTTGGAGCTAACGGAAGCTTCAACTAGCCTTCAGGTCAATTGAAGAGAAGGCCAGGGTAACTAGGAAGGAGTCAAGATCAAAAGTTTTTACAGAAATACAGATACACAGTTGAAGCTATGGTGAAGATTGTTTCGTGGCTTCAAGTAGGAGATTGTTGAGTGTGAAGCCATTGGGCTAGTCAAAAGAAGTGGCAGGAAACAAGGAAAGCCAGAAAACATGGAGAAAGAAAAAGGGGACATCCATGTTTTGAGGTAGTGGATGAAGACCCGGATGTTTTTTTTCTTTTTTAATATACTTTCTCAATTTCAATCTCTATAAATGAGATTGCTCTGTATTTGTAAGGATGTATCCATCACAAACTTCACAGAAAAAATATATACACTCCTAGTTATCCTCGTGTGGACGTAGGTCAGAAATAGACCGAACCACCTTAAATCTTTGTTGTTCTTGTGTTTAGAGTGGTGTGTTAAGTGTCTCGATCCTAACAGCCAAGAGGGCTTAAACGTGTTTGTACATAGGATATTGTTTGTTGGGCTCTTATGATTGATGGTTTGTCAAGAATTACCTTTCCAAAGAGAGTCATTATGCCTCCTATGGAGTAATAGCCCTAGCTGATGACTGATTGAAAAGGTCAAGTTTTCTCCCTTTTCACCTTTGTCACTTTTATACCCCATAATTCATGTAATATTGTTTCTATTTGGTGTAGTGAAAAGATTGCTTCTCTGGCCTTAAAAAAGAAGACCACTAGAAGTTTTTCTTGAATGAGCATATTTGCAAATCTTACCTTAATGCATGCACTTATTGAAGTATCCATGTCGGGTCCATATTTGATTTAATTATACATTTTATTACATCCTTGATGATCTCTTTGTTTTGACCATATGCTCATCTTTGAATGCATATAATAAAATGGAGCAAAGAGATTAATTTCCAGGTAGTTGACATTTGATTTTTTCTAGATCAGCAAATATGATGCTGCTATCGGGGATTTTATAATCACAACAAATAGATCTCTCTATATTGACTTCACAATTCCCTTCAATGATCTTGGAGTTGGTATAATAGCCCGAAACGCCAAGAACAGCATGTGGATCTTCTTAGATCCTTTTAGTGCGGGTCTTTGGATCACAAGTGCTTGTTTCTTTCTCTTTTTGGGGTTTGTCATTTGGTTTATCGAACATCATACAAACAAAGAGTTTCAAGGTTCAACTATACAACAAATAGGAACCACCCTCTGGTTTTCCTTTTCAATCCTTGTTTATGCTCACCATAAGCACTCTTACTCCAATTTTGATTCAGTTAAATATTTGATCTTGTTGAGCATTAAAATCGATACCTTAGACATGTTGGTGACTGGAAACTGCAGGGGAGAAGCTGCAAAGTAATCTATCAAGATTCGTGGTCATTGTTTGGGTTTTTGTGGTGCTTGTGCTCACGTCAAGCTACACTGCAACTTTGAGTTCAGTTTTAACAGTACAACAGATTGGAATGAAGGAGAAGTCTATCGGATTCCTGGGTGTTTCACCTCTAGGAACAGTTGCTTTTGAAAAAATTTAAACTTGTGGACGCCAATTTGGCAAAACTATATACACTCAGAGGAGTTTGCTAAAGCATTAACAAGTGGAAGTGTTGATGCATATGTGGCTGAGATCCTGTACGTCAAATCATTCCTTGCAATGTATTCGGCTGATGACTTCTCCTTGATTGCAACAGCATCCACCACTAATGGTTTTGGCTTTGTGAGTGCTTTGTCATCCTTAATTATTAATTGCTTCTTCCATAATTCCAACTCAATCCTGTTTCCTATTCGTTAATTTATAGGCATTCCAGAAAGGTTTGCCCTTTGGCTGGAGAGATGTCGACTCAGATAGGAAAGATGCGGGAAGAGGGCACATTGAAAGCATTAGAGGATAAATGGTTGAAACGTCAATCTGCAATCATGTCAAACCCTCCTTCACCAAAGGTCTTGAATCTATACAGCCTTCGAGGTCTTTTTCTTATCAACGGTGTGTCAATGACATTAGCACTTTTGGTGTATGTGGTTCATCTTGTTCACGAAAAATTGCATGTCAAAGTTAAGATGCACATATGGAGCATGAAATACATGGACATGTTAGTAATGAGGAATCAACAATTTGACCTTTTCATAAGGTTATATATCAACTATTTTACTTTCACATAAAAATCAAATGTGTATGGTTTTTGATTTTTTTTTTTTATAACTTGGGTACTCTGGTTTGTTACCTATTCTCATTGAACTAACTAATCTCATAGTTCCTTAAATTCTGAAGTGAAAAGGATCCATAGGGAAAGGAGAGTGATTTATAGATTCTAGTGATGGTAGTAAAAGTAGCTTCTTTAGTTACAAGACAGAATTTTGGTGCTCATGACAGAAATGCACATAAAAAGCTACATTTATCAGGACAAAAGGCTCTACTTATGTTCTGGTTAAAGACGCTAGAAGTTGGGCCTTCGATGTCTAAAATATCACTTTGTTTTTGTTAATCTTGGTGTTTTTGTCAAGTTCTTAATTTCCTACTTTAATGTACTACTTCTATGTGACCCACACGTAAGCTAAGTAAACAATCGAGAAGGCAATTGATTGCTATGATTGTAAACAAACTGAAAGTAGGGTGTATTATGAGTAATACTTGAAGTACATTGTTATAATCAGTAATTTTGGTAAAATACATTGTTATTTCGCAATTAACCCAATTATAATTATTTATAGATTAGGAGAGTGTGAATTGATAGGTTTCAAACTTTAGTCATAACTTTTCTAAGCTTTGTACGAGTACATTATGATCAATCAATCCATGTAGCGGCTCAACAATAAGGGTATTATTCCGGTTATCACTCGGAGGAAGAAAGTTGGGACAGGTCTTCTACTCATTTTTGGCAAGACCTTTGGATGGGGAATTCGAAGCTCGTGGACCCGTTTCAAAGAATTTATGCGCTAGAGACCCAAAAATATTACTTAATTACGGACCAATGGCTTAATGGATTTTGGGATGTGGGCGTGGAGAAGACCAATAAGGGTGTGGGGATGAATTTGATCAACTCTCGGCTTTGAGGGTGTGTTTGGCAGCTTTTGTACCGAGCTTGGAACGGGACAAGTGGCCGTGGGAGGTGAAAACGAGTGATGTTTTTTTCGGTTGTTTGCACAAGACAATATATTGATGAAGTAACATTGAGAGATGAAAGTATTCCTACTCCTTGGAATATCCACCTCATAAAACTAAATGTCTTAATTTGGACGGCGATGCTTAATAGGATTCCTACTAGACTTAATTTCGAGGCTAGAGGGATAGATACTCCTACTTTGTGGTCGACTTATGAAAAGGAAGTTGAAGATGTCGATAACTTGTTTTTACAATGTGGTATTGCTAATTAAGTATGGTTTAGAGCATCCACAAAAAGAGCTTTTTGGGAGATTTTTAAAATTAAAAGCTATTGGTGGAGCTTTTTCAAAATCTAAGTTTTTTTTCATGGATAGAACTTTTCACAAAATAATATTATTATATTCATCAAGCTATATATTTATATAAGACTAATATTATGCGGCCCATAAAAGAAGGTGAAAAAAAACTTTTCTATAAGGCTAGAGGGAGCGGTGGTGCATGCTAAGACATGTCACATAAGCATAACATAAAGCTAAGGAGTGGTAGCATACCTTTGAAAAAAAAAGTCAATCAATCAAAAAAAAAGTCACACACCTTCTCCCTCTATCTCTCTCCTCTTTCCTCACGCTAAAGAAGCCCTTAGCTATGCTAAGGGGTGGTTTACAACGTGTCAAGCAAGCTTGGCATTTTCCTTGGCGAGGGCTTGGCGAGATCGACTCCCTCAAGTCTAATCGGTGTTTGTAAAACTTTTTGAGTTGTTGATGTGGTAATGACATGGCACCGAAAAAAACTATATGATTGTTGTTCTCTTACGGTGTTTAAATGGAACTAAGATATTATTATATTCATCAATATATATATATATATATATATATATATATATATATATATATATATATATATATATATATATATATATATATATATATATGATTAATTTCAATCTATCCTATCTAATTTGTTGTTTTAAACTCACGTTATGTTTACAAAAAAAAAAAAAAAAATCTCTGACAAAAAACATTAATTCATATAAATAAAAATATTACAATTCGATAAAACTCAACTATGATATTTACGGGTCTGTATTACATATTCTTAAGAAGGAGATGCGATTGTCCACCTCGCGATGACCATGTGTGATGTGACAAGAGCGTTATTAACGGAGCTTCATGTTGTTCGGGTGTATGAATTATCTTGCCTGTTTACAGACGCACAGCAAATGCTCGACGAAATGCCTGTGCAGTTGCGATATATCTTATTTTCATCTGAAGGCATCGATGTTGCCAAAACGGTGTCTAATGCTGATTAATTATAAAATAAAAAACATAATTATTCTTTTAATTCAACGGTTTAGACCAACAAACAGTGAACAAGTTTTTTTGAGGTAGTCAATGCCAAAAATTTCATGGCGGCCAAACAAAAAGTCAAATATCATTGTCATGAGATCATATATACATTTGACATTAATAACTACTCGAAGGTCCAATATGGCACATGTCTTCGTTTTGAATGACCCCGATTTCTTTATTCACCTTGTATAAGTGTCACTGTGTAATACTGATGATCAACCAATAGCTGCAGGAAACTTAAACCTTCTGTTATCAATGGCGAATTGCAGGTTATTTCCATTTCTGATATTGATGTTGCTTAGCTTTCAAACCCTTTTAACAGCACATGAAGATCCAACTTACAAGGACATACAGGTGGGAGTGATTCTTGACATGGAATCAGGGGTAGGGAAGGTCATTTATCATTGCGTTACCATGGCTATCTCTGACTTTTACAAAGCCAATCCTGACTACAAAACAAGGATAGTTTTTATAACCAGGGATACCAAAGGAGAACCGTTATATGCCTTGTCCGCGGGTACTCTCTTTCTTTCCTTTTCTCTTTCAAATACTTATACTTGGTAAAATTTTATTTTTGAATACTAATATAGGTTTCATGCATGGACATTCAGCTCTCAATCTTTTGGAGAACACCGAGGTGCAAGCGATAATAGGTCCAGAATCAACGGTTGAAGAAAGATTCTTGGAGGTCTTGGAAGACAAGGCTAACATACCGATTCTTTCCTTCTCAACAACTCCCTTTTCGAATACAAATCCTAATCTTCTTGGGATCACACAGGATGAAACCACACAGTTCAAAGGCATTGCTGCCATGGTAGAATCCTTTAAAGCCAAGAATATGATAGTTATCTGTGAGGACACTACAAACGGGAGAGAAATGGCTACTTATATGGTTAGTTCGTTTCAAGAAAAAAACATATATGTTACGTATACTAGCTTCATTACAGCCTCTTCCAACAATGAACAAATGTGGGAAGAGCTTCGTAAGCTTCAAACTATGCAAGCCTTGGTGTTTGTGGTGCATGCGTCACCTTCTCTAGCAACCAATGTTTTCTCCATGGCAAAAGAGTTAGGCATGATGGACGAAGGATACATGTGGATCGTAACAAGTAAGACTACAAACTACTTGGATTCCATGGATTCTGAAGCAATCGAATCAATGCAGGGGGCTCTAGGTTTCAGATCATATTTTCCTGCATCAAGGGAGCTTCGGGAATTTATTTCGAAATGGAGAAAGGAACATTATGCTTTGGACCCTTTTATGGAGTTTAAGGAGGTAGATTCCAATGGTATATGGGCATATGATGCAGTTTACGCACTTGCCATGGCAGTTGAGAGGGAACAAACTAGAGGATTAGCTTCGAAAGAATTGGGTACTAATATTGGCACATCACTACTTTTAGATGAGATGTTAAGAGTCAAGTTCCATGGTTTAGGTGGTGAATTCAAGCTTATGAATGGGAGGATCATCACCAAAGTCATGGAAGTGGTGAATGTGATTGGTAAGGGTGATAGGAGGGTTGGGTTCTGGATGATGGGTACTGATGGTGAATTTGTGAAAGAAATTGGAAAAACAAAGTCTTCTTCTTCCAATTATCATGGCCTGGAAAGTATCATGTGGCCGGGTGGGACCACAAGCATTAATCCAAAACGCAGGATGCTACAAACAAATGGCAAAAAGAAGCTCAGAATTCTGTTTCCAAGTACCAGCAGATTCCAAAATATAGCACAAATAAGTGTTGATCCAAGAACAAATCAATCGGCTGCAAGCGGCTTCTGTGGTGATGTTTTCAATGCTGCATTTAACGCCTTGGACTATGGAGTAGGGATTGAGGTTATTCCGTTCTCTTATAAGGATATGACTTACAATGATGCAATCGACAAAATCTTTAGTAAGGTATGTGCAAAACTATGGGATTATTTGTAGAATGGCATGAATGTAGGCATGATCTAGCTACAGCAGTTATATGGTTTTTGGCTAATGTGATATGTCGGATTGTATCAGGAATATGATGCTGCTATCGGGGATTTTACAATCACAGCAAATAGATCTCTCTATGTCGACTTCACATTGCCCTTCACTGATCTGGGAACAGGGACAGTTGCCCGAAACGCCAAGAATAGCATGTGGATCTTTTTGAATCCTCTTAGTGCAAATCTTTGGATCACAACTTCTTGTTTCTTTCTCTTTTTGGGGTTTGTCATTTGGTTTATTGAACATCGTAGCAACGATGAATTTCAAGGTTCACCGAGACAACAACTCTTTACAACCCTCTGGTTTGCCTTTTCAACCCTCGTTTATGCTCACAGTAAGCTCTCTAATCTCAATTTACTAAAAGTTTTCATCTGCTTGAACAGTAACATAACATCGATCTTCACACCCACAAAATGTGCACCTTAAATCTTTTTGGAAAATGAGTTGGTGATTGGAAACTGCAGGGGAGAAGCTGCAAAGTAATCTATCAAGATTCGTGGTCGTTGTTTGGATTTTTGTGGTGCTTGTGCTCACGTCAAGTTACACTGCAACTTTGAGTTCAGTTTTAACAGTACAACAAATTGGAATGAATGATATCTCTACCGGATTCTTCCAGGTTCTTTCGCCCCTGGGAGGAGTTGCCTTTAATAAACTAAAACCTGTCGACCCTAATTTGGCGAAACTATATACAACTGCGGACTACGCTAAAGCAATAAACAGTGGAGGTGTTGATGCACTTGTCGCTGAGATTCTGTATATCAGATCAAACCTTGCATTGTATTATGCGTCTGACTTCTCCTTGATTGCAACAGCATCCACCACCAATGGTTTCGGCTTTGTGAGTGTTCTTTGTTAGAGTATTAATTAGTTTATATATATATATATATATATATATATATATATATATATATATATATATATATATATATTAAACTACGAAGATCTCCTAGCTAGCCTTCTCTTTGTATCATAATATTTTCAAAATACAGAGAGAAAAAAATTATACATATCGTATATGGATTGTTACAGTCTCTAACAAAGTGCTCCGGCTATGCACAATCTAAATGTTGCCAACATGGCATATAATCATACATACGTATAGAATGATGATGTATCATTCTCTAATCCTTTAGGCTTCTTCCATAACTCTACATTGAACCTGTTTCCATGCCTAACGTAGTTACGATTGCAGGCATTCCAGAAAGGTTCACCCTTGGCCAGAGAGATGTCGACTGAGATAGCGAAGATGCGGGAAGACGGGACATTGAAAGCATTAGAGGATAAATGGTTAAAACTTCAATATGCATCGATGTCAAAGGATTTTTCTTCCCCTTCACTAAAAATCTTGAACCTTTATGGGCTTCGAGGTCTCTTTCTCATCAGTGGTGTGTCGATGGCATCGGCCCTTTTGTTGTCCATGATTCATCTTGCTCGTGAAAAAATTAAGAGGAGGATATGGAGATACATCTTACGAAGATCTGCCGACGAGGAATCACCTGTTTGATTTTTATTATACGGAGTATTATCATATATAAAACATTATACTTAATATATTGTTTCTAACATTATAAAAACCAAAAATGTGTCGAATATGTACGATTTTTTTGTTGTCCCAACAAGAAAATTCTTACTCTGATGCTCATAGAAATGGCTACAACTAAGGGTGTTTGAAAATATCCGCATCCGAACATCCGATCCGAAATTTTGGATAATAAAATCCGGATATCTGGTTTTTCGGATTCGTATACGGATAGTAGAATGTGAAATTTTCGGATATTTCGAATATCCCGATGTATTATGAAAAATTATTAAAAATAGTTTTTAGTGTATTGGTTTTTCATTTGAAATTCAAATTTACAATTGTTAACAATTTTTTTTTTCTTAATGGCAAGGATTTTATTAAAAAAATACAATTGTTAACAATTTTACTTGTACGTAAAATGGGGATGATCTAACTGTTATTAGTTGGATGTTCCCTTTTGTATCTTCTTTCAATCTCTTTTAGTGATCGGCATAACATCTTAATTGAAATTAAGGAATTGGAATGTTGATTTATTATTTTAACGGAAAAGTAATAATGTCCTTAATCATTCTTTCAACTTGTCAATTTAGTATGCATTTTGTTAAAAGAGATACTAGCTTAATTGAATCGTTGTTTTGGCAGCGTTTTCTTTTTTTTTTTTCCTTTTTTTTTTTTTTTTTTTTTTTTTAAGTTTTAGTAATTTGAGTTTGGTTTCTCAAGATCTTCATGTGCCCTGAATTTAACTGGACCAAATGAAGTCTTAGTATATTTGACAAACTCATGGAAGGTAACTGGACCAAATGAAGTCTTAGTATATTTGACAAACTCATGGAAGCGTTCGTTCTTGGATGGTTTATTTTCTTTTGTTAGGATAACAACAAAACAAGTTAAGCACTTCAGACAAATATCAAAATAAATAAATAAAACTTCAGTGAACTCAAAAAAAAATTGAAAAACGTAAATCAAAATAACACAATATTTAACATGGTTCGGTCAAGATGACCTACGTCCACGGGAGAGAGAGAGAGAGAGAGAGAGAGAGAGAGAGAGAGAGAGAGAGAGAGAGAGAGAGAGAGAGAGATAATTTTATTAATTTTCTGGAACTATTACAAGCACTTAAAATTGTATCTCACTTTGAGCTCTCACATAAATCTAGCAATTTATAATGATGGGGGTATGAGTCTATTTATACTCGAGGGATCAGACTTAAAACCCTAATGGACCAAGCACATTGGCTCATAGGCCCATGAATGGTGACAACCAATCATATTCCGCTATGCAGCATCTTCTAGAACATTCTTCCATTTTATACAACCCATGAGCATCAACAACACACATGGTGGACCACCTTGACCATAGTGGAGCAACATGATGCACAAGTGGAGCATCATGATCACTAATGGCCCAACATCCATCATGGTGGCATAACATGGTGTATTTCTTGAGCATGATCATCTTCTAAGCATACGTGGATCAACATGGCACAACAAAGGAATCAAGATGGCGCACCATGTACCAAGATGGTCCATGATGGCACAACATCCTTCCCTCTGCGCAACTTCATGCCTTCATGGCGCAACATCTCATAAATGTGGCACAACATCTCCTTCTTGGCATCCTTATGGCGCAACATCTCATGTGTGTGGCTCAACATTCATTCCTTTGGCGCAACTCCTCTCTCTTTGGCCCAACATCTTCATGGATGGCGCAAGATGCCTCCATATGGCGCAACATCCTAAGGGATGGAGCAACATCAGTCATCATGGCGCAACATGCTGCTCCATGTTGTTCCAAAGTGCTCCAAGTTGCTCCAAAACCAAACGTTTGGTCCAGACTAAATTGATGTGTTCAATTTTGTAGTATAAAAATTCGATCACAAATCGGGAAATCGAAAAACAGAGTAAATAAACATGAGGTTGATCATTTAATCAATGACTCAGTTCATACGATATCTTGTAGAACGAAAGAATAGTTGATCACTTATCTTAGGCCAACGTTTGATTTGAATCAGAGTTCGTCAGTGGCTTTGGAAAGCACCATTTGTGGTTTAATTCAAGGTTTATACTTGCAACTGTAGGTATAGACTTATCCAAGTGGGAGACTGTTGGATTAAGGTGTCTAAGCCAATAACTAAATTGGTATACTCTTGAATTAAAAGCAAAGTGTTTTTTGGGTTGACCTCAAAACTAGTATTTAGATCGAATGACTTTTGGAGGAAGAGGTTGATTTGTTAATTTATTATATGATTAATAAATTAATTAAAAATTGAAATAAATGATTTATTAATATATTATATGATTAATATATTAATTGGAAATAGTAATAATTAATTTAGAATTAATTGGAATTAATTTCGGGATTAATTGAATTAATTAAAAGTGCAAGGAATGAAGTCGTAACTGTTCAATAGTTGAACAAGAAGGTACTCCAAAACCTTCCAACCCCTTGCACAAAATTAAGGAGGGTTTTTAGGGTTTTTGGAATATTCCTTATGGATAATTAGGAAACTAGATAATTCCGGATTTGAAATAATATTATTTTATTTCAAATTAGGGTTTCTAGGGTTTTCCTATCAGTTATAAATAGGGTCCTTTGGCATCATACTTTCACACACAATATACACTCTCTAAAGAGCCGAAATTCTCCTCTAGCCTCGTCTCTCCTCAAGTCTTCTTGCTACTACGGTTTTGGATACAAGTCATTAGAGACATCCATTCCTTTGGTGCTAACTTTCTAAGTTCTTAATGAAGGAATCTGCTTTGATTATTTGCTACAATAATCAAAAGGTATGTAACCCTATAAATATATGAATTTTGATTTTTATAGCCTTCCCTTATGGTTTTTTGATGTTCATAGATTATTGCTATCAATAGAAAAAACATAGATCCTTTCTAGGTTGCATGTAAACTTAAGGGTTTAAGTGTTTTTCCGCCACATGAAATTTTGTATAACTTAGAAAACCCATCAAATGATGATAAATGGAAGATAAAAGTTAAGATATAGACAATGGAGTTGAACTTGTTAAGTTCATTTTTAAATGATATTGATGTCATTCTTATTTATTTGCTATGGTTCATATGATGTTTAATGGTAACACCAGATGTTTTAATCAAAAATGTTGTTGTAGGAACGGTTTTTGTTAAAAGTGGGTTAATACCCGTAATGATTTTATTAAAACCATAGCATTTTAAAGTTTGAAAAAGTTTATAAGATTTTGGGTGTTACAATTTGGTATTAGATTCATAGTTTAAGTGAATTAGGATTGGATCATTCCACTCCTAGGCTTATACTTTGGTTATGGAAAGTTTGAATCAGACATAGCGTTTCATACCACTAATGATATGAGTAATCATCAATGATATAATTATATAAATCATTTTTTATTTATTTACTTTATTAATTTAGAACCTAGTCTTAAATTTTTAGGATGGTACAGTAACTCAACCAACTCTTAACCAATTAATGTAGTTCTTGAGCATAAAATGTATCCCAGAGAGTAAATGTTGGAAAAAAACAACTCATTCGGAGCTCGTACGAAAAAAATTATGGCTATTCAAAGTTGACTAAAAATTTTGCACAACCTAGAAACAACCCTAATAGCCATGTTTGGGGTTGAGTAACTCATCCTAATATTAATCAATTGAAGTGGTTCTTGAGGCTACAATATAACCAAGACAAAGAACTAAATGCTAGAAAAAAAATCAACTCATTCAAGCCTCATACAAAAAAATTATGAGGGTCAAAAAGTGGCACTTTAAATTCCACTTCGAACCTTTTGGTACTTGGGATTTTATATGAAACATGGTTTTGATATGTTTAATTTATATTTGTAAAATAAAAAATTTGGTTTGAAGTTTGGGACGTTACACTAAGGGCGTGTTTGACAAAACTATGTGGTAGCTGGTAGCTAGTAGTTTTTTGTTAAATGTTACGTGAGATAGCTTTTAGATTTGAAGCGTTTTATTTAAAGTAAACGCTAAAAACTTGTAGTTCCAAACGGGGCTTTGTGTTCAAAATGGAGTGTTTGTCAAACTCTAGAAGCTAGAAGATTTCAAACGCTCTGTGTCAAACACGCCCTAAATTTGAAGCTCAGACTCGGCTCGTGAAATACTCAATACTATTGAGTTCGGCTCGACTCAACTCCACTATATATATATATATATATATATATATATATATATATATATATATATATATATATAATACTAAAAACATTCAACATGCTTTTACATTGTCCAATCTAGCAAAAGCATTCACAAAACCATATAATGTTTCAATATAACATCAACAATCTATGTCATTGCTTTTACATGCATCCGAGAAAAAAAAAACTTCTCCAATGGAATAGAATATGAACCATTCAACCATCATAAAGTTTTTCAACAACAGCAAAGAGGGACTTGATGAAACTCAGGAGGTGTACATGATTCCATCTGCAATACTCAGTAACTCTATATTACATTATCAAACTATAAATGAAAATAAAATAACTCAACAAAATAAACTAACAATAGTTATGTACTGTAAATCTGTAATAATAAACCTATTTTTAATGATAACCAACATGCAACAGTAGGCTGGAAAAAGAAATATGTAATACCGAGTTCTTAAATTATTGTGTAATTTTGATTTAGTATGACAATTTATATGTTTTTATAATTATTCATCAATTTCATCCATCACAATATAGAACGGCAGAATAATATTATTATATTTCATCATTCGGCGTAGTCAATCAGATGTATAATCAAACAACATGGTTTTTTTCCCAGTCAGAAAATTTTTCTATACAGCACTTTCTCATACATCATTTTTCCGGACAGAAACTATCAAACGGGTAGTAAGCTTTTAGAAAGAAGATTGCTGCAACATTTTTTTGATCTTGAGTGGGTGTTTGGGATAACTTTTTTAAATAGCTTATTAGCTTTTTAACTTTTCAAAAAGCTAATAAGCTAAAAAAAAGTGTTTGTGTATTTAAAAAACATTTTTTAAAACAGTTTTTTGGATATGAAAAAGTAAGGTTGCGTTTAGTTACGGAAAAACAGTTTTCATTTTCTATTTTTCGTTTTCCCTTTTCAGTATTCATTTTCCGTTTTCATTTTTCATTAAAAAATTTAGAAAACGCGTTTAGTTAAAACTTATTCATTTTTCATTTTCAGTTTTAGAAAATTAGAAAACGTGTTTAGATGTGTATTTTTCTATTGGTTTTCATTTTTAGGAAACAGTTGCGGTGGTAGGGTGGGGGTGGGGGCGGCGGTGGTAGCGGGTCGGCGGCGGTGGTGGTGGCGGCAATCATGGTAGTGGTGGTGATGGCGGTGGCGGCGGTGGTGGTGGTGGTGATGGTGCTGATGAGGTAGGGGTAGTGGTGATGGTGATGGTGATGGTAGGTCGGTGATTGTGGTAGTGGTGTTGGGTGGGTAGGTGTGTCTGTGTGTGTTTGTGGGTGGGTGTGTGTGTGTGGGGGGTGGGGGGTGAGTGTGTGGGTGGGTGTAGGTGTGGGTGTGTGTGTGCGCGTGTGTTTTTGGGGATAGGGGTGGGTTTGTGTGTGTGTGTGTGTTTGTGGGGGTGGGGTAGGTGTGGGTTTGTGTGTGTGTGTTTGTGAGGGATTGGGTGGGGGTGGGGATAGGTGTGTGTGTGTGTGTTTGGGGGTAGGGGTGGGTGTTTGTTTATGTGTGTGTGTGTGTCTATTTGTGGGGGTGGGGGTGGCTTTGTGTTTGTGTGTGTGTTGGGGGGGGGGGGGGGGGTTATGGGTGGGGGTTGGGGTAGGTGTGTGTTTGTAGGGGTGGGTTTGGGAGTGGGTGAGTGTGGGTAGGTAGGGGTGTGGTGGGTTGGAGGTGTAGAGATGGGGGTAGGTAGAGATGGGAGTGAGGGTGTGTTTATATTTTAGAAAAATTTTGGAATTAGAAAAATGTGGAAAACAATAATTATTGGTTTTCTAAAAATTTCCAACTTCTTTGTAATTTTAGAAAACGGAAAATTTTCATTTTCCGTGAAAAATTTAGAAAAAACGAACTAAACGCGTTTTCAAAATTCTTATTTTTCTTGAAAAAAATTTCCGGAAAACGGCCAATTTTTCCGCAACTAAACGCACCCTAAAGCTTTCAAAAAGATGAAAAATCTTTGTTTTTTAGCTTTTTAGCCATTTGACTCCTAAAAAGCAGTTTTTCTTATCCAAACACTTTTTAAAATAAGCTTTTCTTAAAAGTAATAAAGCTAATAAGCAGTCTTCTTGTAAAAAAAAAAACTCACTTTTATAATAAAAAAAGCTAACCCAAATAAGCAAATTTGCTTACCTTACTTACGTCGATTTTAGGCCCCGTTTGATAGTTGCTGACTGAGAAAGTGCTGACTGAGAAATGTCTGTCTCAGTAAGAAATTCTGACTGGGTAAGAAATCATGTTGTTTGATTGTACATCTGACTGAACGTGCTGACTGATGCAAAATGACTATTTTATCCTGATGCATTATTCGTTTTTATGCAATAATAATAATAATAATAATAATAATAATAATAATAATAATAACTAGAAATGTTACCCCCACTACGCGGGGGCCAGAAGCTTTCAATGTTGTTTCCGAAATAATAAATATGACAGACATAGAAAGTGCAAGGATGAAAAGTCCGGGCTTTGCCCCGGACAAAAAATGTAAAAGTTTTGACTGCAAGGACCAGAAGTGTGAAAATGGCTAAAGAATTAAAGGGGTAGGAATTAGCAACTTTTTAGAAAAGGGATCAAAGTTATCAAACCGTTAAAGTTTTGTGGCCAAACTTTAAATATTAAAAGGTTCCAAAAAAGTGTAAAAATATTGATTGCAAGGACCAAAAGTGTCAAAATGGGTAAAGAATAATGACCAAAGTTGCCAAAAAACATCCAAATTTAGTATTCCTAACTTCCAACAATAATACAGGGACCAATTCTGCCAAAAAATGGGAAGTTGAATAGAACACAAACAAAAGGATATGAATAAATTAATTAAAAAAGTAAAGGGACCGGATATGTAAATCAAGGGACCAAACTTGGACAAAGTATTCCAAGTTTACTATTCCTTTCTTCCACAACTTTAATATATATATAATAATAATAATAATAATAATAATAATAAAGATGATAATAATAATAACCAGTGTTACACATTATATAAAATATTTGAGCAAATATAATAAAGAAGCCTTCTAGCATATTGGAAAAGATATGACTTTGTGAATATAAGGTCATGGGTTCAATTCCCACTGCCCTCTTTTAATTTGTTGTGCACCGAATTTTTAAGGGTAGAAGTGGAAAATCTTTATTTCTTTCTCAGTCAGACACCCAAATTTTGTTAATCAATCACTTTCAGCTGACCGAGTCAGACACCCAAATTTTGTTAATCAATCACTCTCAGCTGACCGAGTCAGACACCCAAATTTTGTTAATCAATCACTCTCAGCTGACCGAGTCACCAAAAATGTATGACTTGACTCGGTCAGATGCATATCACATAGGGCCTTAGCTCATATGATGATATGAAAATGCATGAACTCAAAGGTTCCGAGTAGATATTTTGATTTAATTATATATTTGATTACATACTTGATGATCTCTTTGGTGTTTGACCATATGCCCATCGTTGATCTAATATAATTATATTCAAGCAGTTTCAAGTAGTTGACATTTTAATTTTTGAATCCTTCTTGATTAGCAATTGATTAACCATCTTCATTTAATAAAAAAGTGTACGCCTTTACAATTGTTATTCTAAATTTAGAAGATACAAAATTTGTTTATACAATCACGTTTCATCATTTTTTATTGGACTTCTTATCATCCGAGTTCGAATCAATGAGTGATTAGATTTATTATTCTGATGATAATTAAGGTCCTATACTATTGCGCTTTTTCTGGTAGATTTATACCATAGACTCGTGCCTTTGTATTCCTAATTCCTAAGAAACAAAAACCCATAAGCAGAACGTGATTAACGGAGCTTCATGGTCTAGGCCATGGCTGGGTAAAGGATCGTTGCAAGCCCATCGGTTGGGTTCTGGCATGGTTACATGGTTGTCTAACGGACAACTTAATCTTTTTTGGCCACTCTTTCCCGGCATGAATGTCCTTCAAGTGTATGGTGTATGTTCCTTACTTAAAGACGCACATCAAGTGCTCGACGAAATGCCTGAAGAGCTTATGTCTCTTCTACAGTTGCTATTTATCTTATTTTCATGATGGACACGGGGATGTTTCCAAAAATGTGTCTACATCTACTACTGTGATTGCTGGGGCCTATCAAGAAAATTTCTCCAGACATTGAAACTGTTTAGGAAGGTGAAATTGATTAATTACAGTAATTATTTGTAAAATTAAAAACAAAAAAACAGTTTCAATTCAATGGTCCAGATCAAAGATTGCTGACCAGGTTCTATTTTGTAGTCAATGTCAATAAAATCATGGAGGCTGGAAAAAGGAAAATCAAATATCTATCTGATGAGATCATATGTATCTTTGACATCATTAATTAATTAATCTTTTCTCTTTCAAGCTCTTGTTTTAACAGAACTCTATTTTCTTTCTTCACCTTGGCACGGTTTTAGTGTGTCATACGGATGAAACAAGAGCTGTAGCAAACTTAAAACTATCTGTTCTTAATGGCGAATATCAGGGTACTTTCATTTTTTATACTGATGTTACTTACCTTTCAAAGCCTTTTAACAGCACATGAAGATCCAACTTACAAGGAAGTACAAGTGGGAGTGATTCTTGACATGGAATCATGGGCAGGGAAGGTCATTTATCGTTGCATCAGCATGGCTATTTCTGACTTTTATACAGCCAATCCTCACTACACAACAAGGATAGCTTTTACAACCAGGGATACCAAAGGAGAACCTCTGAGTGCCTTGTTTTCTGGTACTTTCTTTATTCCTATTTTTACTTCTTTCTCTTTGGTAAACTTCATTTTGAAATAATGCTAATATATTGTTAATTGACATTCAGCTCTGGATCTTCTGGAGAACACTGAAGTGCAAGCAATAATAGGTCCAGAATCAACAGCCGAATCAAGATTCTTGAAGGTTTTGGAAGATAAAGCTAACATACCAATTCTTTCATTTTCAACAAGCCCATTTTCGAATCACAATCCTAATCTTCTTGGAATCGCACAAGATGAAACCACTCAGTTCAAAGGCATTGCTGGTATGGTAGACTTGTTTAAAACCAAGAGTGTGATCGTTATCTGTGAAGACACTGCAAATGGAAGAGAAATGGCTAATTATATGGTTAGTGCGTTTCAAGAGAAACACATACACGTTACATATATTACCCTAATTTCAAAATTTCCCAGCAATGAACAAGTCAAGGTAGAGCTTCGCAAGCTTCAAACTATGCAATCCATGGTGTTTGTCATGCATACACCACCTTCTCTAGCGACCGATGTTTTCTCCATGGCAAAGGAGCTAGGCATGATGGATGAAGGATACGTGTGGATCCTAACAAGTAAGACTACAAACTTGTTGGATTCCATGGATGCTGAAGCAATCAAAACAATGCAGGGGGCTGTGGGTTTCAAATCGTATGTTCCAGCATCAGGGGAGCTTCAAAGCTTTGTTTCAAAATGGAGAAAGGAACATTATGCTTTGGACCCTTTTATGGAGTTTAAGGAGGTAGATTTTAATGGGATATGGGCATATGATGCAGTTTACGCACTTGCCATGGCTGTTGAGAGGAAACAAACTAGAGAATTAGCTTCGAAAGAGTTGGGTACTAATATTCGCACATCACTACTTTTAGACGAGATGTTAAGAGTCAAGTTCCATGGTTTAGGTGGTGAATTCAAGCTTATGAATGGGAGAACAATCACCAAAGCCATGGAAGTGGTGAATGTGATCGGTCAGGGTGATAGGAGGGTTGGGTTCTGGATGATGGCTACTGATGAATTTGTGAAAGGAATTGGAATCCCGGATTCCATTTCCAACCGTGGATTGCAAAGTATCATCTGGCCGGGTGGGACTACAAGCATTAATCCAAAGCGTAGGATTCTACAAACAAATGGCAATAAGAAGCTCAGAATTCTGTTTCCAAATTTTGGTAGATTCCCAAATTTAGTACAAGTGACTGTAGATCCCAAAACAAATCTATCGGGTGTGAGTGGCTTCTGTGGGGATGTTTTCAGTGCTGCGTTTAACGGCTTAGACTATGGAGTAGGGATTGAGGTTGTTCCATTTAAATATGAGGTTGGAATTACTTACAACGATCTAATTCAAAAAATCTATCGTAAGGTATGTTTTTTTTTTCACGCAAAACTTCATGAATATATCTTGGTAAAGCATGCTGTTACATAGTATTTGGTTAATATGATATTGGCTTTCTATCAGGAATATGATGCTGCTATCGGGGATTTTACAATTACAACAAATAGATCTCTCTATGTTGACTTCACAATTCCCTTCACCGATCTTGGAGTTGGCATAGTAGCCCGAAACGCCAAGAACAGCATGTGGATCTTCTTAGATCCTTTTAGTGCGGGTCTTTGGATCACAAGTGCTTGTTTCTTTCTCTTTTTGGGGTTTGTCATTTGGTTTATCGAACATCCTACAAACAAAGAATTTCAAGGTTCAACAATACAACAAATAGGAACCACCCTCTGGTTTGCCTTTTCAACCCTTGTTTATGCTCACCGTAAGCACTCTTACTCTAATTTTGATTCAGTTAACTATTTGATCTTGTTGAGCATTAAATCGATAATTTAGACATGCTGGTGACTGGAAACTGCAGGGGAGAAGCTGCAAAGTAATCTATCAAGATTCGTGGTTATTGTTTGGGTTTTTGCAGTGCTTGTTCTCACATCAAGTTACACTGCAACATTGAGCTCAGTTTTAACAGTACAACAGATTGGAATGAATGATATCTCTACGGGATTCCAGAATCTTTCTCCAGTAGGAGGGTATGTATTTAACAAATTGAAACCTGTTGATGTCAATTTGGAGAAACTATATACACCTGAGGATTACTCTAAAGCGTTAAGAAATGGAAGAGTTGATGCAATCGTCTCTGAGATTCTTTACATCATATCATTCCTTGCAATGTATCCGGCTACCGACGTCTCCTTGATTGCAACAGCATCCACCACCAATGGTTTTGGCTTTGTGAGTATTCTATGTTAGACCATTATTCTATACATAGTTATATATGTTATGTTGGCAACATTAATTATAGCCTCTGAGCAATTTGTTAGAGGTTGTATTCGAGAATCCAATTTACTTCTCTCATTTAGCTCTATGTTTGCAGGCGTTCCAAAAGGGTTCGCCCTTGGCGAGAGAGGTGTCGACTGAGATAGCAAAGATGCGGGAAGACGGGACATTGAAAGCATTAGAGGATAAATGGTTGAAACGTGAATCTGCAATGATGTCAAAGGATTTTTCTTCCCCTTCACCAAAAATCTTGAATCTTTACCGGCTTCGAGGTCTCTTTGTTATCAGTGGTGTGTCGATGGCATTAGTCCTTTTTGTGTCCATGATTCATCTTGTTCGCAAAAAATGGCATGCCAAAAATATAACGAAGACACTAAGGTCTGTCTTACGAAATACATGCACAAGATAGTGATGTGGAATTAACATATCTGTAAAGTTAAATTCTAACCATTATACTCCACATGTTATTTCTATATAAAAATCATAATATGTGGTCACATGTGTTGTAACATCCCAAGAATCATGATAAAAATTTTCATTTTTGTAAAACATTTCCATAAACCAAAATATAATCAACCATTGTTTTCAAGACAAATCCATAAAATCAGAGTATCAAAAATCTCTCAAGACATATATCAGCAGGAGGGTGTGTACGATCACGCCTTCGCCTTATCCCGATCATCTGATGTACCTGAAACCATGAAACCAACAAATGTAAACCAAAGCTTAATGAGTTTCCCCAAAATACCCCACACACAATACATATATAATGCATGCACAACAGGCCTACAGCACGCTGGACCGCCACCTGAGCCTTCAGCAACAAGTTGGACCGCTCCTGAGCCTACAACATAAGTTGGACCGCTCCCTTGGGCCTACAGTGTCAAATGGGCTGCCCGGGTATCTTGGCCTTCAGCACAAAGCAGGATCGCCTCAACCCAACCATATTATGTCGACATATGCAAACAATAATCAATAGCCAACAAGTTCAGGTAATCATACAGATCTACCAAACAGATCACTATAGCATAACAACATTCTATATGCACAATGATACATAATCATAATCTAATGGGTCGGCATTGGTGCCTTCGACCCACGAGTATAGTGAGAAAAACTCACCTCGAAGTCTATAAGATAGCTGAACTGATCACTGATCCAAATATCGACTCTATAGGTCACCTATATAATAAACAGGGACCAAGTCTCAAACTACAGCTCAAAAGACTCTATTTGACCTAAAGTCAAACTTGATCAAAGTCAACGGTCAAAAGTCAACTTCCAGCCAGTCTATGCCCATCGTAGCAGCTCTACGCCCTACATAGAGCCTAAGGTGGCAAAATGGAGGAAAATTGATGCTACGCCCTGCGTAAACCCTTGATGCCCTAACTTAATCATTAAGCCCTTAATACAGATCAACAACTCTTCCAACTTCTAGATCGTTATCTTACAAACGTTTTAATGGATAAAGTCTTTGACTTTATCCATTTGCATGTATACCAAGGGCACAAAATCATAACATAGGCCCAAAAATTCATCCAATGCTCCAGAACTCATGCATGGATGGATGAGAGTGACCAAGCTCTCATTTTTATAACTTAATAACCCTAAAAAAACGTCTGGAAATGACACTCCAATGATCTGGAGTAGCTCTTACTCATATTCACCATGGTTATGGGGACAAAAGTATAAAATCGTAAGGCATAACTAGATCTAACATAAAAACACATCAAGGTAGGAGCTTTATACCTTCTAGAGATAGTTGAGTGGATGAAACCTCTGTATCTATATTGATTTGAGCTCCCAAGTGGTTCCACAATCTTCTTCTTCCTTCAAAAGTGAACACAAAACACACCAACAGCTCAGATCTCACAAATATGGATTAGGGTTTCTAAGGAGGTCGTTTAGGAGGATGGAGGTTGAGGATGGAAAACAGTAAAAGTCATGTTCCCGATATAGAATAAGTATCCTGATGTAATCTTGCAGTCACCTACATCTCCTAGCTAATCATTGTCTATGTATCCTACTAGATTGAAATCATATGTTTTGAATAAGAATAACCCAAGGCTATACGAAATGTGTGTAGCTTTTCCAAATGTGTGTTAACTGGCTCCTTCATGAATCCCTTTACTACTCCAACGCTATATAAAATATCGATCCTTGTGCATGTGAGATAGAGAAGGCTTCCAACTAAACTCGTGTATGTGGTTGCATCTACTCGTTCTCCTCGTAAAACGTATAAAGTTTCCTACCAGCTTCCATAGATGTTGATACCAAGTTGCAATCCATCATTTTGTTCATCTTCAAGTTTCTTTTCGTATATGCTTCTTATGACATTATAATACTTGTATTTTCTTTTCTAAACTCAAGACCAGGTAAATACTTCATTAAGCCCAACTCTGTTATCTTGAATTTTCAAGTCATGTCACCTTTAAATTTTTCTGTCATCTTAATATCATGCCCTAAAAAATGAGGTGATTAACATAAATATCAACAAAGATCAAATGAATCACATGTAGTACATGCTTGTACTAACAATCGACTAAACCCATTCTCCTCAAAGTCTGTATCGAATCGAATATTCCATGTAGGGGATGTTTGCTTTAACCCATACTCTCACACCTTACTTTTATGTACCTAAGCACGTGTTCCACATATATCTCCTCTTATAACACAATGTTCAAAAAAGCTCACTTGACATCCATTTTAATTTTTTGTCATTTGAATTGAGCTTCTTTATAAATTAGTAGTCGAATTGTTTCTATTCTCGCAACTCGCAACTGAAGCAAAAACTTCATCATAGTCGATCGTTGCATTATCTATAGCCCTTTACGAACATTCTTTCATTGTATCTTTATATCTCATACTATTTAGTCACTTTATTTATATCGAACTTAATAAATGAATACCCTTACCTTTACTTACTTTTTGTTATTTTTTATCAGCTCTTATTAAACATACTACTTTTATTTTTTAAAGTCAAACATCTTTTTTTTAAATACAAATAGTAACTATTGTAAATTTACAATAAATAATATATATCTCTTCTTACAACACATTGTTCAAGAAAGCTCATTTGACATCCATTTGAATTGAGCTTCTTTAAAAATTAGTAGTAGAATCGTTTCCATTTCTCAGAACTAGGGTAAAAACTTCATCGTAGTCGACCGTACATTTTATCAATGGCTCATTACAGTAGTTCTTTCCATATATCTTTATATCTCATACTATTTAGTCACTTTACTCATTATTCAGTCACTTTATTTATATCGAACTTAATAGATAAAGACCATTACTTTTACTTACTTTTTGTTTTTTATCAGCTCTTATCATACATGCTACTTTTATTTTTAAAAGTCATATGTTTTTTTTCAATACAAAGAGTAACTATTGTAAATTTATAATAAATAATATATATCAAATGTTCAATTTAAAATATCGTAGTATTTTTATCATATAAAGAAAAGGTAAATTGTCATTTGGTTTTATTTAGATTGTTCTTTCAATTAAAAATAAACATTATATATAGATCCGATAAAAAAGAAATTTTAGGTATGAAGGTAAAAAGTTTTTTTCTATATGTCTTTTTGTCGAACCAAAAAAATAAATCATTAGATGAATCAAAACAAACATGATTCACAAAAAAAATTGTTGAAAAAAACATTTCGATAATTCATTTTAACGATGATTTTGTTGTTATTCACTAAAATTATCATAAAAATGACTTTTTGTTGATTTACTGAAAAAATGAATCATGAATGTGTTTTTTTGGAAAAAAAATTCTTATCAATCATCTTACTTTTGATTCATTTAATGATTCATTTTGTTGATTCACTTAAAAAATATGCATATAAAAAATTTCGTATCTTCCTACCAAAAATTTTCTTCTTATTTGATTCGGAAATTATATATATATATATATATATATATATATATATATATATATATATATATATATATGGAATAGTTATATGGAGAATGAATATAATAAAAAAAAACCCTAAAAATATGTAAAAAAAAATATTTTGAGACATCTAATCTTTTTTTGACTTTATAAACCTAAAGGTCGCAAGTTATATATAAATTCGTGGAAAAATTTTGAAAAAAATAATTTTTTTAGTGAATTTGTATAAAAGGTTCGATTTTTAGGTTTGTAAAGTCAAAAAAAATTAGATGTCTCATAGTATTTTTTATGTATTTTTAGGGTTTCTAGGTGTTTTTTTATTATAATCGTTTTCCACTGAACCCATATATATATATATATATATATATATATATATATATATATATATATATATATTGTAACACCCGTATTCCAGATTGATTTAGCTTCTATTTATCAGGGACTAAAGATGGAGTTTTGGGAAAACTTTGTGCCACGACGTGGCATCAAAATAATAGAACACGTGTTTTATTGATGGCCACGGCGTGGCATCTGTTCTGGCCCAAACTCATGATCTTTTACGGTTTCCTTCGTATTTAAACCCCATTAGCTTGAATCTAGGTTTCCTTATCAGCCTCCATCACCCTCAAACCCAAAAAAACCCTAATCCTAAACCCTATTGGTGATTCTTCGCTTATTTTGGTGCTTTTGGTAGCTAGAAAAATAAGATGGTGTCTAGTGTGTTGATTTAGTAAGCAAGCTTCATCATCGACCTCATAAGCAGTCTTTAGGATCTTGTAAGTGATCAAGTTTCCATCTTTTTTGTGTTTACTCTCTAGATCTAGGTTTTATGTCTTATTTGGTCCATTTCATATAGTTGGTATGGTTTGAAGAGATAAAGGTTGCAACTTTATAGCTTCTCTAAGTCCCAAGAGTCTTATATATATCATAGATATTTAGGAACTTGACATGAAATCTAAGTCATATTGCAACTTTTGACCTAGATTTGGGAAAGGACGTGCATGGGGTATGCATGTCCGTAAAGTTTACATTTTTAGGGTTCATTAGGATCCCTAAAGAGTTTCTAGAAGTTTTAGGTTGAAGATTTCAAGGATTAAGTGCTTAATGGTCTAGTCTCATGCTTTAAGTTGCCTTTTGGACTTTGGGAAATAGATCTAGACTTATAGGGATGTCTTAAGGGATAAAGTTGGAAACTTTATCCATTAAGACCCTGGAAAGGACCAGATCTGATCTTTAGAGCTCTTGAAATCGGAAGAAAATGGATTAAGCTTGTTTAAGCTGTTCAGACCAGTCCCCACGACGTGGCCTTAGGCTGTCACGACGTGGAGACAAGGGAATCATCGATTGTCTTGGCATTTAGTGCCCACGACGTGGCTAAGGAAAGCCACGGCGTGAAGGCTGCTGATTGGCAATTTTTGACCTTGCTTTGACCCTTGACTTTTTTGGTATGGTTGACTTTTGTTCAATTGTTGGATCTAATGTGTAGACTAAGGTTGAACCTTGCATGTTTTGATAGGAGTGTTGTAGCATCCGCTGAAGGGTTTTGAGTGGCGGTTTAGGTGATTCGTGTGTCAGGTGAGTCTTCTCACTATACTGTGTAGGATGCTAGTTGTCTTTGTGACTCTTGCATTTTGTGTTGGGCTAGGCTCGTTGGTATGCATGTAGGGTTGGGCCCATTGGTATGTTAGGTTGGGCCAGTTTGTATGTTGGGTTGGGCCAGTTTGTATGTTGGGTTGGGGCCATTGGTATGGTGGGTTGGGCCTGTTATTATGGTTTAGGCACAATGTGAGGGTTGGGCCCGTTGATATGTATGTTATGCGGTATTTTGGGGAACTCACTAAGTTTATTGCTTACGATTTATGGCTTAACATTTTTTAGGTACTTCCATTTCCAAAGGGAAGGGTCTGGATTGACTGCACAACATCCCCCAGAGTTTATTATGCATTGGCTATTTATGATTTTTACTTTGATGTTTAAATGATATATTTCACTTTGATTGGTTTTGGACTAAATTGTTTGTATGAATTTAATGTTTTAAAAATAAAAATTTTACTATGAATTTTTGGGACGTTATATATATATATATATATATATATATATATATATATATATATATATATATATATATCTCACAAGAAAATATCATTTTATATGTACAATGTCTATTATTTATACAATATATATTATTTACTATCTAATATATCTTATAAAACTATATTATTCGATTAAAACTATATTATTCGATTAGTGTGGTTCAAGACAAATAGTTGTAAATAATATAATAAATTTGATTTTTATTAAAAAATTTCAATAAATATACATAAAACATTTCAATTATTTGTTATAACAACAACAACAATAACAATAATCATAGCAATAACAATAATAATAACAATACAAATAACAACAAAAACAATAATAATAATAAGGGTAAATTACACGGATGGTCCCTGTGGTTTAAGGTAATCTGCATGTTTGATGCCCAACAACTTTTTTTAACTCGAACCGTCCCTAATTTATAATTTTGTTGCACGCTTGGTCCCTGTTCGTTCTAAAAAGACTAATTTACACTTATTGATTTCTTTTCCCTATTTTAAATTATCTATTAATTAAAAAAATATTAATTAAATGTGACCTACCACCGAACCCCCCTTCGCCTCTGCTTCCCTCCCTTCCCTCATCGTGTTTAGTCCCCAGAAAATCCCACACATTGACGGTTCCACCCCCCCCCCCCCCCCCTCCCATGCACAACTGTCTTCTCCGGCTGCAATGAAGAATATTCCGGTAATCCCCAACATCAATGGAACTTAAACCTTAAATTCATCCAGGATGCAAACCTAAAACCGAAACTAAAATCAAAACTGGAAATTAAATCAAACCCAAAAATCAAAATCAAATATGAATTCAAACCTGAAACTGAAATCAAACTGAAAATTGAATATGAAACTTAATTCCTGGAACACAATCAAACCTCAAACTAAAAATTAAACCTGAAATCAAACCTAATCGGTGTTGTATATAAATCGATCTTGTACATCAAAATCGATTCCTCACCTTTAAAATCAATTTCTCACCTTCAAAATCAGTGGATGTTAGGTATGAATCGATCTCGTACGTCTATATCGGAGGAAAAAGGGAGGGTATCCGTGGTGGAAGGGAAAGAAGTTGATGGCGAATCCGACCATCCCTTTTATTGATGGGGGCATAGACGAAAACAGGGGAGGGATCATATTACCGTCTGGTAGGGCTTAACCAAATCACCACTTGCAATCTACTTCTCGGAATTATTATGCACACCATAAGAAATGAGTCGCAGGTTTCATGGGGTTTCTGCGAAGTGATCTGGTGGGGATGAAGAGAACGCTTTCCAACTTGAAATCTGGTGGAGATGAAGAAAGGTTTGAAATCGGGTCGGGATAAAGAGAGATCTCCGGTTATACTCTGATCTCCGGCGAGCATTGACAGGGCAACGATGAAGATTTTAGGTGGAGGAAGTTGCTGATGGTGAGAGGTTTGGTGTGCCGGTGGAGATGATAAGAGGAACTGATCGATGATTGAATGGGGCTGATTTTAGGGCTTATGAAGTATTAACTTTCGTTGTTGTTGTTAATATTATTATTATTATTATTAGTAGGGTAAATTACACGGATGGTCCCTGTGGTTTAGGGTAATCTGCGTGTTTGGTCCCTAACAACTTTTTTTTAATTCGGATCATCCTTATTGTTAGGTATTGTTTCGTATTTAGTCCCTAACAAACCTAAAATTACTGTTATACCCTTTTGTTGTTTTTTTTATTTTTTTAATTATTAGGGCTTTTTCCCTTGTAATTACATAAATAGTCCCTTGGGTTTTTTATGTTTTATTAAAATTTTAAAAACAATAATTAAAAAAATAAAAAAAAACAACAAAAGGGTATAACAGTAATTTTAGGTCTGTTAGGGACTAAATACGAAACAATACCTAACAATAAGGATGATCCGAATTAAAAAAAGTTGTTAGGGACCAAACACGCAGATTACCCTAAACCACAGGGACCATCCGTGTAATTTACCCTACTAATAATAATAATAATATTAACAACAACAACAACAAAAGTTAATACTTCATAACAACCTAGACTATAAAAGAAAATAAATAAATAAATAAAAGAAGAAGAAGAAAAATGACATAGACCTTCAAGTACATATTCTAGATAAAATTGCAAAATATATGCTTGTGGTTGTCAAAAAAATTATGGTTTTGGTTCAAAAAAGTTTGGTGATGCATCATGATCCGATTTTGGATACCTTGTGTGGTTTTGGTCTCTATGGTTGACATTTTTTGTGGTTTTGGTCCATACCCTACATAAAATGACGAATATACCCTTAAATATTTTTTTTTCTAATTTCTTTTAATTACTAGGAAAAAAATCTCACCTACACCACCCGGCCCTCTCATCCCTTCATATCTACCTTTGTCTATTGTAAAACATATCCAAAGTGCACTCCAAGAGCCAAAGGTTTCAATGTCCATCGCCCTTACTTTAGCCACCGGCGTCCGTTGCATCATTCGGCGTCGATGTCCAACACTATCACACCTCACCCTTCATTCAAAACTTTGATTATTCCCTCTATTTCGTGGACATGCAATTTCTCTTGTTGGTTACTCAATGCTCAACAAAGTCCCCAGAAAGACCACCACCTCTCCTCTATCCCCATTTCCTTATATAATTTGAAACCTAGCCAACATCAATTTTTAGAATCAAGCACTCTTGTTCCTCCTTTGTGATTCAAGAACCCTCTCATTCCTATGTCAGAGTTTCCTTCCCACCACCTCCGATCCCCTCCTTCTTTCCTCCGATACCGACGAACGAGATCGATTTATGCCATACACCGATCAATTTTGAATGTGAGAAATCGATTTTTAGATTTCTCTGTTGCAACCTTTGTGGGAGATTCTTTGACTGCTTTATATGGATTTAAGGTTTCGTTCCCTATAGATCGTATCTAGGACATAAATGTAATTAGGTTTTGTCAATTTTGGGTTCTTTCATTCAAACAAAGTCATCAAAAATGGCAAGAATGGTGGTGTTGTGGATGGTTTCCAGCAAAAATAACGGTTGCGGCAGTGACAATAAAAATATTTGTCAAAATGAAGATGACGAAAATCACTAAAATATCAATAATTAAGTCATTGATAAAACAACAAACTTTTTTATATCAAAACCAAGGTTGTCAAGATCGAGATCCTACGTAGGATCGTTTTTGGGTTTGCAAGATCGGGATCGGGATTCTAAGATCCCACAAAATAAATTTTAATTTTAATTTATATTTTTTAATCATAAAAAATATTTCAAACATTCAATTTTCTGTTCAAAAGTTATAAAAACTTCAAAATATTAGTCATAAATCATAGCACAAAATGATAAATGGTAATTGGTAAAGAGTAAAAGACATAAAGTGGTAAAAAAAATTCATTTTCAAAAAAAAAAATCAAGGGTAGGTAGGATCGGATCGGATCTCGATCCTATGATCTTACGATCCTACCCCAAATACTATCTGTTTACGATCCGGATCGTTTTTCATACCTAGGATCGTACGATCCTACGATCAGGATCGCGATTTTGACAACCATGATCAAAACTACACTTTTTAAATACCAAACTTTTTTATATCAAAACCACACTTTTTTAATAACGATAAGGTTTAATGACATAGAAAGGTAACGTAGTTTAGAAACTGTACACATTAAGGTAACAATGTTTTTTTCGTATACATTTGTCAATTGAACTTGTTTGACATGTACCTATTAAGGTAATATGACCGATGATCGTAGGTTTTTGTTGATTTGGCATATTACGTGGCATATTCACCCTCTAGTCATCCTTTATTTAACCCAACGATACATTGTTATGATTTTTACCTTAGGAAAAGATTGGTGTCCTAAAATGTCGACGGCTTCTTCAGCATTCTCCCCCTCACCTCTAAGGCTTGGATTCACACCTTGCTACTGTGGCCTTCCATCTCGAATCCGCACATCAAGGACGAAAAACAACCCTGGAAGAAAGTTTATGATATGCCCGGTATGCCATTTTTTTTATTTTTAGATTTTGGTTCATATTTGTTGCTGTATTGGTTATTTCACTCCTTGATCCTCTTGTTTATGTTATTGGTTTATGTAGAAAGTAGAAGAAAGGTGTGGTTTTTGGGAATGGGTAGAACCTGATGAAACACTTGAAGTTATGCAACGTGACATTTTGAGCCTTAGAAAAGAGCTGGAAGAGTAAAGAATAAACAATTTAATGTTAAGTGTTTGTTGGTTGTTTTCATTGTGATGTGTTTATTTAGTCTTTTGAAGTAGTAATTGTAATCATCAAGAAGTAGATTAATGCTAAGGTTGTGTTGGTTGTAATCTTTTAGATGGTGAAATGGTATTTCTAATCTTTTGAAGTTGTATTAAGATGTAATGTACTTTGTAACACTTATTTTGATATGAATGGGATTTGATTTGTTATATTATTTTGATATGAAACAGATTTCACAGAAACAGATTTCAAATTAGGATGCTAAAGTAGAATCAAAGTAGGATGATAAAATAGAAATTGTTTTGACCAATTTACCCTTGGATTTGCAGTTTTGGTAAAACAAATTTCATAGAAACAGATTTCAAAGTAGGATGATAAAATAGAAATTATTTTGACCAATTTACCCTTGGATTTGTAGTTTTGGTCAAACAAATTTCATAGAAACAGATTTTAAAGTAGGATGATAAAATAGAAATTATTTTGACCAATTTACCATTGGATTTGCAGTTTTGGTAAAACAAATTTCATAGAAACAGATTTCAATGTAGGATGCACATTAGTAGAAACAGTTGTACTACAAAATACCCTTAACACATTAATCAACATAACCTTGAAGCAAGTTATGACCAAAATACCCCTTAACTAGTATCATAGTAGCATTACATCATTCTAGTAGTAAGGTAGCATAGTTACATTACAAAAGACTTAAGGTTTGTTACTGGCTTGTGTTAGACAAAAGATACTAGTAGTAAACAAGCACATCATTCTAAAGTTACTGGCTTGTTTTGACTGCAACCAATCCCTCCTTTGGGGACAACATTCTTACTTAGACCAATCTCGGTTATACTTTCTAAAACTTTCCTCTTTCGCACATGCATCTTTCCAATTCTTGAAGCTTTAGGAGCTTGAACAGGAGCTTCAACATGTCCACTTCCACTTCCACTTGTACTTCCCCTTCCACTTGTAATTCCCCTTCCTGAGAAAACAAACTAGTATTAGTTTCCAATTACATAGAACTACAATAAATAAATTCATTTTTACCTTTTCCTGGACAACTTGATTTCTTGTGTCCAATGCCTTTGCAAGTACTACACTTTTGCAACCCTTTTGCACGTGAGATTGTATGCGTCTTTTTACCGGTACCTTCTAATTCTGACTTATCCTTTGTTCGTTTAACTTTTGGTCTGCCTGGTAGTCTTCTTTTTTTTGGAGGTAAAGGCTTCTGATAAATTGTTTTCGGCCACATTGGACTACCATTTAAAGGGTGGACATTGTAAGTGTAACTTGAAAGGAAACTTTGTTTGCTAAAACAAGGTGCCACATACGACTCTGCATTATGATTCAGGTATGCAAGTGCAGCCAAGCCATGCAAGCATGGGATACCTCTCAACTGCCAACTTCTACATTCACATACCCTTCTGATTAGATCCACAACAAATGCATCATTACCAAATCTTACTTCAAATTGTTGATAACCACTTGGATAAACTCCCCAAAATCTGTAAATAATAATAATAATAATAATAATAAATAATAAGTTAACACGCCAAATCAAATCAATCATTAGCTAATGTAAATTCAAAACATTATGTTACTCACCTTTGAGTTATATTATTATCTTTTAATTCCTTTCTAATTGTTGGGCAAATATCCAAATCCCACTCTTCACCCATGATCCTTTGATTATACATCCCCTCCATGGCCCAAACCCTTATTTCTTCCAACATTATGATGATCGGCTTTCTTCTAGCATCCCTGATTGCATTATTAAAAGTTTCTGAGACACCATTTTCCATAGCATCACAGTTCCTCCCTTCTACAAAGAAAGCTTTTGACCAAGATTTTGGTTCCCTGTCAATAAGATGATCATAGGCATTGGGGTCTAATTTCTTAATTAATTTCTTAATTACATCCATGGCTTCTTCAAACATCCATGTCCATCTGAAATGATAGTAAGTCCACTACCATTTCCCCCTCCAATGTCATCCATGAGAATGTCAAGAAACCACTTCCAATTAACTTTATTCTCAACATTTACCACAGCCCACGCGATAGGGTAGATGTTGTTATTCGCATCTCTACCCACTGCTGCAAGAAGCTCACCCTTACACAAGCCTTTCAGGAAGCAGCCATCTACACAAATCACCTTTCTACATCCCTCTATCCAACCATCCCTAACACCTTTGAAGCAGACATAGTACTTTGAAAAATATATAGTTGAGTCAGGCATGATGTCCACATCCATTCTTACCGTAGACCCTGGGTTAGACCTCATAATCTCCTCACCATAATCTCACAACCTTCCATAATGCTCAACCAAAGTACCTTCAATCTTACTCAATGCAAACCTTCTTGCATTTCTACACTACCCCAAACTAACATTAATATTAAATTTTTTGGAAATTTTAGCTTTCATTTTCCTTAAGCTCATTTTTGGTCTTTGTAATATTTCATTAACAAAATGCTTCCCAATCCACCTATAACTCACAATTGCTCCAAGTTTGAATGACCTGGAGCAATTGTGTTCATCTTTCAGTGACTTAATTTGAAAATAATGTTCGTCCTTCATCCAAGTGGCCTAGAGTCTAAATGGACATTTATGTGTTGTACCTTTGCTACATTTAGCTAACAGCCTGTTCTTATCACTTTTTTCATACCATAAATTGTATCCATGTCTAACAACATAATTACTTAGTAAACATTTAAGCTCATCGGGATCAGAAAACTTCATACCTAGCATAGGAACCATCTTCTTCCAATTTTGGTTTGGATCATGGACGGGATACATTGGTTTCACATCAACTTCTTCGTCTGTTGCATTTGTGTCGGAACCATCTTCTGATTTCTTGTTAGGACAAAGGGCATTAAGAAATGAATCATCAAGTGGTTTCTTACTTGACACCACCTCATCCTCTTCATGGTCAGGTAAAATCGCGTCCGAAAATGTAGAATCATCAACTTCGTCTTCATCATCTATAACTGAATCATATTCATCAGGATTCTCCTCCTCGATCCAATCGAAAATGGGTTCATTGTACTGATCAATGTACACATTAATTCTTTTTTCTTGGCTTCCATTACCAACCTCAAGGAACTCTCTGTAATCTCCTTCATTCTGAATTACTCCTAACCCTTCACTCAACCTTTCATGTGGAAGACAGTAGTAAACATCCTGGCAGTTGATTTTCTTTGTGAGCTTTTCAAAGAATGTAATGAAATCTGAAAATACCATAGCGTTGAAGTCGACATCTCGCACAGATGCGATGTCTGGGTCGAAATATACAAGGGGGTTGGGGGAAAAACACCATTATAGTGGACATCCACGATGAGGGATGATCCCTTCGTCATTACAGTCGAAGAAACAAAAAGTGATTTCAATTGCAAAGGTTCGACATTGAGAACGAAGAGAAAAGGGGAACGATGGAACGAAGGAATGAAAGCGGTGGGTTTTGTGTTTATGAGCCCTAATTCGAATTAGCATTCATATAATGTGTCAAAAATGCCAATTAATTTCATTTAATGCCACGTAATACAACATAATGCCACGTAATATGCCAAATGAGCAAAAACCTATGATCATCGGTCATATTACCTTAATATGTACAGGTTAAACAAGTTCAATTGGCAAATGTATACGAAAAAAACATTGTTATCTTAATGTGTACAGAACCTAAACTACGTTACCTTTCTATCTCATCATTTTGGCAATTTTGTCTATATTCCATTTTTCTAATTTATTTAGATTCAAATTTACACTTCTATTTATTGGGTAGTACATATGTGACTTGCATCTTTTTATGACAAAGTACCATTGGCAAAGCTACTTGTGTCTAATTGTCCTCACCATCATGTCTTCCTCACGCAACACTGCAACAAAACCCTAAAATCTACCCTTCACTGACGAAGTGGAGCTTTCAAGTTTTAGTAATGGCAGAGTAAGCACCTATCTCACACATACTAACTGTGTTTTATGTATCTCAATATCTTCGATTTGCATTTTATTCTTTCAGATCTAATGGATACCCAACTTACTGTGACCAACAAAGCAGATCACGATCTTCTTCAACATCGACAACGAGTATTCACGTAACAGCACTTGACGGTCTCGTAAACGTCAACTCCCTCTTCACAATCGCCGTCTTCGTCGGTCTCTCTCTCACAACTCCCGGCCAACGCAGCCTCGAGAACCGATCCGCCTGTGACGCCGATATCTCCGTCGCCAAAAAACTTTTGGTTTTTGAAGTTGTATCGTTCAGCTTTTTCCTTTTCTCATCTCTGGTTGCTCAAGGTCTTAAACTCGCCATCAATCTGCTCAACAGTACCGATGTTGATGAGGCTTTTAGGGCACACATTAATCTGAAGGCGTTGAGGTTCGGGATGCTCGGATCGGCTATCGGATCGGTTATGGGGTGTTTGTTCCTGATGCTCTCGATGGTGAATGTGATTGAGATTCGATTGGGGATGTTGTCTTGTGGAAGTAGATCCACTGTGAATGCTGTTGCCTCCATGATTGTCCTGGTGACGTCTGCACTTTTGGTTTATATTTCCACTGCTGTTTATGCATTTTTACATTAGAATCGTTATATATTCATCAACTAACCCTCCCTTCAACTTTTAATTTCAAGTTTGTTTGATTAAAAATTGTGATAATGCTTGAACAATACTTGAAATATTGCCCTTTTGAATCACAGTGGTTGATCTCTTTTCAGTTTGTTCCATCATTTTCGAACTAAATCTCTTTCTATTTTGGACTTGAACTTCCTAAATATTCGATTGGGGGATACTGTCACTTTCCTGTTTCCTGAGGGAAAATAAAGAATGCCATTGGCAATGAAGTCATGTGAATGTCGGTTTTTTTTCCTTTGATGATGCAGTCTGTCGTTATCGATCAAACAAGTCAATGGATTCACGAAGAACAATTTACCTAAACGGGTAAAATAAAATAAAAACCGTACATCCTCAAATGTTGTCAAAATTGAGATATACATAAAAACGTTTTATGTTTTGCAAAATTGTGATCGTAAGATTGGATCGGATCATAAGATCCTACCAAAATGAATTTATATTCAAATTTGCTCGCAACATAGTGTAATCAACTATAACTTTTTAAGCATCATCAATTTTTGTTACTATAAACGGTAAACATTAAAAATAAATAATCTTAATTAAAAATAAGATCATTTTGATCATGTACAAGTAAGACGTAAGATCACAAAAGATTATTATGGGTGTTTTCTGTTTAATTCAAAATGAAATTGATAAAAATGTGATCCTCTTCTTGTAACTTGTGACTTTTGATTTCAAGTTGAATAGACGAATTTTTGATACCCGGCTTTATAATAAAGATAAAGAGGTGAGATCGGGATAGTTTTTAATTTGTATGATCTTAAAATTGTAAGATCACAACTTTGCTCAAATGCATTATTAGTTCATGTATTTAAAACTATGATAGTTACGTATTTAAAATTGGACGAATATCATAAAATTCCTAAGTGTTTGACGTGTAATTTGACAAAGCTCTAATATTTTTTTTATTATTGTTATGGTCACAACTTTCTCGTAGAATTATCACTCTATACCACTTAACGAGTTTCATGGTTAACTTTGTTATATTTTTTGCAAAATCAATCCTAAAATTGAGTTTAAAGTTTAAATTTGATCCCTGTAGTTTGCAAAAAATTGTAATATATACATATTTCATTTTTTATATATTACAATTGTGGTAATTTATAGTTTTTGTAATTTTTTATTTTTATTCAAGTACATAAAATAGTTATATTATATTTGTAATATTCCGATTTTCAAGACCAAAAATTTTGTTTTTTAATTAAGTAACTTATAAAATTGTTTACTGAAAAACATCATCGAACCATATCATTTCATAAAACCATAGTCACATGTCTCAAAACCATATCATAAAATAGTAACAATGTCAGAGTACAATCCCAAGAATCTCATAATGCGGAAATCTTGTGTGTGTGATGCGCTGCTACAGTGTCGGCTCCTTCCCCTTCGAAGAAGAGGTACCTGAAAACAAAACTGAAACTGTAAGCACAAAGCTTAGTGAGTTCCCCCATCATACCACATACCATACTACAAACATATTGCCAGGCATATCGGGGGTGCCCAATGTAACACCCCGTTTATTTAATAAATAAATAAATTAATTAATGAATGTATAGTGACCCTAAATTCAATAATTATATAGCAAAGTGTAAGTTTCGGGACTTATTTTGTAAAGATTTTTAAAGGACAGGGTGTGTTTGGTATCATTCGTACCTAATTTGAAAAGGATTTGTAGAGGGAGGGGCTGTTTGATAAAATTCGGACTTAATTTGTAAAGGGTTCAAGAGGCAGGGTTTAAAGGGTAAATTTTGGGCTAGGATTGAAAGAAAAAGGGAAGAGAGGGACTAGACTTGCCACTATGGGGTGAAGTTTCAAAGGTTATAGGATATATAACCCGTCCATACCCTAACCCTAATGCAAACACCAGCCGCCACCCTTATGCCTCCCTCTTCTAGCAGCTGTCACCTCCCAACTACCGTCCGCCACCACCGTCGTCAAGGTCCCAAACTACCTCGCGTTCATTCGACCGTCGGGAGCCGGAGTTGTGGGAGTTGTTGCCGCCGTTGCGTGTTAGACTACCCTCCATCCGCCGCCTTGGTGAGACGATCGCCACCTGGTCGCTGTTACTTCACCGTCATGGGGCCTCCTAGTGCAGCTGTCATCCTCCTCCGTCGTTGCTGTTTCAATTCGTCTTTTCTTCTCCCTCAGTTCGTCGAAACGCCACCACCACAGTCGCATCTTCTCTCCGCCGCTGCCGTTCTCCGTGTTCGTTGACGACAAACTGTCGCCGCTGCCGTGTTCGTCGACGACAACCATCAAGTTGCCATCGTCGGTCACCACAGGTGGGTGATTTGGGTCCATTTTTTGAGCAAAGGACGAGTAGTCGTGCTTCTACTACGGCTGTACATCATGTGTGTGCCTAGTTTTTGTCGGAAATTACAAGAACAACCACCACCACCACCATGAGGTGGTGGCTGCCACCATGTACCACCGTGTGTGTATCTTAGTGGGTGTGTGTGTTTATTTGAGACTTAGCATTGTAAAATGTAATTAGAAATTGGAATAATGAAAAGAAACTCTAACCACCACCGTGAGGTGGTGGCTGCCGCCTCCTGCCGCCACTAACTATCGTGTTGGGTGGCGGTGTGCTTTTGCTTGCGTTTGGTTGCTTTTGGATAGTGGCAAACCCAGATAGTGGCAAACCCAAATAATTATCACAAAGACAATTACCTTACAAACAAATCCCTACTAGTGGTCCGACATTCTGGCCGTAGACCCACTTCTACTAGAAGGTAACTCACCTCAATGTCGTGAAGTGTCTGAATGGTCCTCGATGTTGGAATCAACTCCTCTCAAACTCCTACACATAACATACTTCCTTAATTACCATTTCATGCTCTTAACCCTTTCAAGGGTCAACTCATGTCAAGTCAAAGTCAAGGTCAACACCCTGGTCAAAGTCAACATCTGGTTGACTCAACTCGCCGAGTTGGTCCACCAACTCGTCGAGTTCCATAATCCACCAAAATCCTGGAACTTCGCTCCTACTCGTCGAGTCTTTCAATAACTCGTCGAGTTCTCATTCATACAGAATCGAGACCTTTTTGCTTTTGACTCGTCGAGTCCTTCTTTATACAAGTTGAAGCGTTTAGTCCTTGACTCGCCGAGTTCTTCCTTGAACTCGTCGAGTTCTTCTTCATATAAGTTAGGACATTGCCTTGAACTCGTCGAGTTCTTCGATCTTCAAGTCCATATTCAGGTCCATCTTGTTGAGTCCTCTTCTAGACTCAACCGGATCGATCAGAAATAGAAAAGGTTGGGGAACCATGACTCGACTCGCCGAGTCCTATGAGCGAATTGCCGAGTCCCCTAAAGTCCAAGTCTACCAAGCCGATTTCAGTCGGGATTAATGCATCCAGAACATAGATCTGACCTCCTAGGATCGATATGACACGTAAAGTTATAAACTTTACGTGCATGCATGGGTTAACTAGCTCATAAGAACCTAAAATGAAGTCTACAAGATGCATGGGACTCCCATGGCCATAAAGTTGGCACCTTTATGCCATGAGAACTCTTAAAGGTTCAAGATCTGAAGTGCAACTCCATGGATGCTAACAATCTCGAATATGGCTCCACTAAGACTTAGAAAAGGTAGAAAATAGC